GGCTGTATATTGTCACCCTGTTTATTTAACTTATATGCAGAGTACATCATGAGAAATGCTGGGCTGGATGAAGCACAAGCTGGAATCAAGATTTCCGGGAGAAATATCAATAACCTCAGATATGCAGATGACACCACCCTGATGGCAGAAAGTGAAGAAGAACTAAAGAGCCTCTTGATGAAAGTGAAAGAGGAGAGTGAAAAAGTTGACTTAAGGCTCAACATTCAGAAAACTAAGATCATGGCATCTGGTCCCATCACTTCATGGCAAATAGATGGGGAAACAGTGGAAACAGTGACAGACTTTATTTTGGGGGGCTCTAAAATCACTGCAGATGGTGATTGCAGCCATGAAATTAAGATGCTTGCTTCTTGGAAGAAGAGTTATGACCAACCTAGATAGCACATTAAAAAGCAGAGACATTACTTTGCCAACAAAGGTCCATCTAGTCAAGGCTATGGTTTTTCCAGTAGTCATGTATGGATGTGAGAGTTGGACTATAAAGAAAGCTGAGCGCTGAAGAAATGATGCTTTTGAACTGTGGTGTTGGAGAAGACTCTTGAGAGTCCCTTGGACTGCAAGGAGATCCAACCAGCCCATCCTAAAGATCAGTCCTGAATATTCATTGGAAGGACTGATGTTGAAGCTGAAACTCCAATACTTTGGCCACTTGATGTGAAGAGCTAACTCATTTGAAAAGACCCTGATGCTGGGAAAGACTGAAGGCAGGAGAAGGGGATGACAAAGGATGAGATGGTTGGATGGCATCACCGACACAGTGGGCATGAGTTTGAGTAAACTCTGGGAGTTGGTGATGGACAGGGAGGCCTGGCATGCTGCAGTCCATGGGGTCGCAAAGAGTCAGACATGACTGGACTGAACTGAACTGAGTGCAGTGTCTATGATTAATAACTGATGAAGTCGTCACCTGGCACATTTCTCCTTCTGCACCTCCGTCTGTCAGTCCTAAGTCGCTTCAGTTGTGTCTGATTCTTTGTGACCCTATAAACTGTAGTCCCTCCTGGCTCCTCTGTCCATGGGATTCTCCAAGCAAGAATACTGAAATGGGTTGCTATTTCCTCCTCCAGGGGATCTTCCCAACCCAGGGATTGAACCTGAGTCTTTTATGTCTCCTGCATTGGCAGGCAGGTTCCTTTCCACTAGCACCACTTCTGCACCTCAAAGATCTACAAATAACATACCAGCTGTAACCCTAGGAGTGGGGTCTGAACTCAAGAGAAGCCAAGAAAAGCTGATCTTTGCTGCTGCCCTACTGGGCAAAGCAGAATGTGTTCATGGGTTTTTCCCAAGGTGAATCATTTTCCCCCAAAAGTAAGATGTGTAGACTCTTCCCAAAACAGATATGGAATTTCTCCCTCCAAGCATTTTGTCCCAGTGATTCGTAACCCTGAGTGAGCTATGGACACACACGAGAGTGTAATAAAGGTGAAGAGCCCACATCCTCTACTGGGTTTCAGGGTTCAGGGAGCCCAGACTGTGTACCATGGCCTCAGTCACAGATGTCAGGGCTCCTCTCCGGATGTGGGGGTCTCCAGTTGTGCCTCACTGTGTGCAATGGGCCCAGCCCTCCACGGATGCTTGAAGGGTTGGATGTGAGCCTTTGACCTTGAGCCCCAATGCTGGTACCCACAGGAGGGGCAGCTTTGCCCAGGTTTGCAAATATAATCAGCACAGCCCTTCCCAAGCACAGCCTGGTGGGACCCTGGGCACGTTAACACCAGCAGAGCTTCTAGAATGAGTTCTACCCTCCCTGTTCCCATCACTACTGTCAATCTCTAAGTCCAGTTAAGGACCCCGGTTTTTGGAGACAAACAACAAGAGACTCAGGTTTGACCCACAAGAAACCTTGAAGGAGGAAAAGTGGCTGATCCCCACAGGAGACTACAGATACCACCTTCTTCCATCCCGACACCCAGTCACGCATGACATTTATTGTGTGTGTAGCATGCAGGGCTGTAGACACGGCAGGAACCTCTACATGATGAAGCCCTGACCTCAGGCATCTGTGCTGGTGGGGACAGGACTCAAGGATAGAAGGTGAGGGAGGGACCAGCAGGGCCGTGGTGGGGAAGAGTCACTTGTTTATACCTGCCACCTTCCTGGAGGAGGTGGCATTTTAAACCCAGTGGAGCTGCACATACCTCCTACTCAGTGAGAATGGGAGCCCTGTGGTAGGTGCATGTGGAGGTAGGGGGTGTGGCCAGGTCCCCGGGGGCCCAGGAGGAGACAAGCCAGGTGATGGGGACAGGCCACGGGGTCTCATTGAGGACCTGCATTAAACCCTCAGGAAGCGCCTGGAGGGGTGTGAGCAAGAGATGATGTTGACCGATGTCCATCTGTGTGGAGGGGCTACAGGGGTGATGGTGGAGGCAGGAGGGCCTGGGGGAGGCCGAGTCCAGGCAGGAGAGGAAGGAGCAGCTCAACAGAGGAGAATTGGCCTGACATCTCCAAGGAGGCACCATCTGCATGGCAGGTGCAAGGTCAAGAGTGGCGAGATGGTCCCAGGCCATGGAAAGTCAGAGGCCCTGCTCATGGGGACAGGGAACAGTCTGGGTTTGGAGGCAAAGATCGAGAGCTCAGATCCAAAGGGGTCAGGTCAGAGACACCTCTGAGACCTCAGTGGATGTGCTGAGTCCACAGGGGACCTCTTGGAGTTCAGGGCACATGGGCTGGAGGACCACTGGATAGGCAGACAGCAGTCAAAGCTATTCACCCAGCAGCTACCCACTCACTCCTATTTAGAACTGGGAGTGTATGGACGAGAGGCACCAGCCCTCACGTGGACAGCAGTGAAACACATAATAATCGAATAACTGATAGATTTGTGAAGAGACAGAGAGGCTTCCCTGGAGGCTCAGACAGTAATGAATCCACCTCCAATGCAGAAGACCCAGGTTTGATCCCTGGATCGGGAAGATCTCCTGGAGAAGAGCATGGTAACCCACTCCAGTCCTCTTGCCTGGAAAATCCTATGGACAGAGGAGCCTGGCAGGCTACAGTCCAAAGAGTTGCAAAGTCAGACACAACTGAGCAATGAACACTTCACTTCAAAAGATAGAGAATCACAAAAACCATGGTAAAACTGCAACTATGTGGAGTGCTGAAGGAAGGTCAGAGTGCTGTCTTCAGAGTGGAGGATGAGGGAGTTTGATCTGATCAGGAGGAGGAGGCAGAGATGGGTGGGGACCCGCCCAGGCTGCAGGTCCCAACTAAGGCAGGTGGTCCTGCAGCTGAGGACCTGATGATGGGGTTGGTGGGGGTGGGGGGTAAGAGGCCTTGGGGGTAACCCTGGCTCCATGAGAAGAGGAGCATGTTATACCATCAGGAGCAGCCACTCCAGGTAGACAATCACCCCCAAAGATTGGTGTACCCGGAACCTGGGAACATGACCTTATTTGGGGGAAAAGAAAAAGATGTAATTTGCTTTTGCAGATGTAATTAAGGTAAGGATCTTAAAATGAGGAGATCATCCAGGATTATCCAGATGGGCCCTAAATCCCATGATAAGGAAAGGAGAGGACACACAAGAGCTGATGCAAGATGGTGGCAGAGATCTGACTGATGCAGCCACAAGGCAAGGACCACCTGGAGCCCCCAGCAGCTCAAAGAGGAAGGAAGGATCCTCCCCTTGAGCCAGAGGGAGCACGGAGCAGTGGGCAGAGGCCAGGGAAGCTCCAAACACTGTACAAGGTATAGGGTAGACTCACACAGAGGATGGTCCAGCCCTCAATGTTGCCGAAGTTGAAGGACCTGCTTCAACCCTGATCTGTCTACATCAGCCATTCTCAGACATCACCCTGTCCTGTAGGAGGCTGATGAGTGTTTAAGAGGAAAAGTCCCAGAACCAGGTAAGCCTGGGAAACACAACAGGCTTCAGCCTCTTCTCAGATGTCCAGGGTCTTTGGCTCTGGGTTTCTGACAGGAAGACCCTGGTTTGACTTTCGTCAGCCACTTCCAACCATATGTTAGCTTCATCCCATGCCCCCCCACACACACTATGGCTGGTGCTCCCGGAAGTGCTTCACCAGACCCAAAGTGGACAAGGTCCAGAGGGATGCAAGGTCACAGGAGGGGGTGACAGACAAGGCCAGTATCCAGTCCTGGGCTCCTGGTCTGTCCACCTGGTCACATCTGCCCCCACCTGACCCCCTTAGCACCAGCCAAGTCACAGTCAATACCAACCCTTCCCCCTTTCCCATCAACACTGGGACCAGGTCCCCAGGAGCTCCCTGCAGACCGTCGTGATTGTCACCACGAGATGCTTTCAGGAAGAACAACAACCCTCCCCTAAAGGCCTTACAGCCATGTCACTCTTGACCCTCCTGCAAGAGACGGCGCTCAGCACAGCTCACATCAGGACTGAGTACCCATTATCAGGAGGGGGCTACGATGCTTTGTCTTGCGAGCCCCCATATCCTCAAGGGTAAGACTGAGCAAATATTCTAACCTGGAGAACATGTTGTGAGGACAGACAGACCTCCAAGGACCCGGTGGACACACAGTCCTGAACAAGTAGACACTGCTGGGTTTACAGTAGCTCTGAGATGGCCACTGGCATCAGCCTGCCCCCTCTTCCTCCCTCTTCCATCTCATCTTGCTTTCTTATTAGCATTTTCTGCCACATCTTCCAAATGCTGGCAATCCAAGTGCCCCCAACACAATGACATCCTGCCACATCATCCCAGGCATTGATGCTCTTAGTCGCTGGCTGAGCCACTTTTGTGTTTTCAAATACACATGAAAATGTATATGCGACCCTCAGAATCAAACAAGTTTCCTCGGGTTCCTCCTAACTGTGCCCTGAGCCAGCCCACAGGCCCCCGCTCACATACAACGGGGCATCTCTCTCCACGACTCTCTGGCACATGGCCTCCACCCTGTGCCCTCGACTCTGGCAGCAGCAGAACCCTCAAACCTGCGCTTGGGCTCCATGCCGCTGGAACGGGGCTCCCGCCCCAAGAGGCCCACCCTCTGCTCACCAGAGATGACGGAGTCATTTAGGGCTTCTTCATCCTGATACAAGAGCAGGTCGTCCTTGAGTTCTGCATTCAGGATCAGGTTCTCCTTGTTCTCCTCGGACTCCTTGGCCGCCGTCCGCTTACCGTCAGAGGCCCCGTCGAAGCTCCAGGCCTCCTCCCGCTCCTTGCCCCGCTCCACGCTGCAGGTCCTCGACAGCCGGACGTCCACGCGCCTCTTCGGGGACCCCTTACTGTCCCTGCCTTGGAAACTGAAGCAGAGATGCAGTTCAGGTTATACACTGTCCCCGTCACCCGGACGCCCTGCAAAGTTGACCTGAAGACTTCTAACGGGTTTTGCAAAGATGGCCCCCGAGTGCGTGCAGCTGATACGCAGGACAAGAAGTGCCAGAGGCTCACAGAGCTTTCAGCCCAAAGTTGCTCAGAATGTGTTGTTCTGAATGATGCTGACATGCATGTAATAAAACCTGCTGAGACAGCGCAACCAATGCGCAGATCAAGGATTTCCTAAGAACCGAGCAGGGCATCTTTTTTGTCCAATATTTCTGCCAAGCCACATGTGTGTTCTAGTATCTGTTTTGCCCTCCAATGACTCACGAGTCTTCAGCCTATGAGGCGTGTGAGGTCAAGAGTAAGAGTCAGCTTCCGGGCAGGTTACTTGTGCTCTCGCCGGATGAAAACAGGACTCTATCAGAGTCCCCAGACAACATAACGGCTACTTCTCCCTCTTGATCCTCTCGTGTGATGCTCCCACTCGACCCTGGGTCCCTGGACCCTCCAGGGGAAACACGGGCTTAGGGCCTGGTTTTCACCCTCTCCCTCTCAGAATGTGGCCGCTGAGACCAGCTACCAACCAACTGCAGAGCCCGGTGCAAAACCGGAAAAGGGAGCGCCCTGCTCAGCAGCTGAGAATTCCAGGACGGCAAGAGCGGAGCGCTGAGGCCAGCCTGGACCCACCCCCTGTGACTCCCCCGAGGGGGGCTGGCCCTGGACGGGGGTTCAGGCCCTCACCTGTCCTGGCGGTGCTTGGTGGCCAGTGCCCTGTGCAGCTCCTCAATGACGCGGCTGGGGGGCAGAGGCCGGTGGACGGTGGTGAGATGCGGAGACCCCGTGGGCGTGGAAAGCTGTCCTCGGAGGGAAGGGTCAGTACTTTTCCCGCCAGAGCCTTGGAAGAGTGTGGCCTGGCCTGGGGCATGAGAAGAGCCAGTAAGAAGGTAAGTCTTTGGGGTCAGAGACGAGGGGCTTTGCTGAAACACAGGAGCCTGTGAGCAGAGAGGACGCAGGGCTCCCGGCCAGGTGAAGCCACTAGCATCCTATCTGAGATGCTATGCCAGGCTCCCTCCCCACAGAGACGGAGATGGGTACATCCCTGATCAGTTCCCCTCTATCCTTGGGACCCCTGAGCTGAACAGACGGCAGTGCCCACGGCCCTCGGGAAGGTCTTGGGCATGGAAAGGCCTCTTCCTATTTCTCTACAACAAACTTAACATCCTGAAGCCACGCTTCCTCTTCGGGAAGCTGGAAGAACTCCCCAAGCTGTACAGCCATTGGTCAGCCTGGACCATCACCACAGCCTCCCTTTGCGTCCCCATCACCCACTCACGTCTGCCTGCAATCTGCACCTCTCCTTGTGGGAGTCTTCTGATCAAGGCTCTCCCATTCTCCTCGGGACAAGATCTGGGCTGATGACAAGTCCCAGGGCCCCACAGGTTGTTCCTGATCATATTTTAACATGCTTCTTTTTTTTTTTTTTTTTAATTGAAGTATAGTTGATTTGGGCTTCCCTGGCGGCTCAGCAGTCAAGAATCCACCTGCCAATGCAGGAGACACAGGTTCGATCCCTAGGTCAGGAAGGTTCCTGGAGAAGGAAGTGGCAACCCACTCCAGCATCCTTGCCTGGAAAATCCCATGGATAGAGGAGCCTGGTGGGCTGCAGTCCACAGGTTGCAAAAGAGCTGAACATGACTTTGCAACTGAACACACACACATAGTTGACTTACAATGTTGTGTTAATTTCAGATGTACAGCAAAGTGATTCAGTTTAATATTGAGACATATTTTGATGTTTTAAAAATAGGCAACGTATTTTTAAAGTACTGAATACCACGCGTGTGTGTGCTCAGTGGGACTGACCCCATGGACTATCTCCTGACAGGCGCCTCTGCCCTTCTTCCTCCTCCTTTGCTGCCGTCTAGCTGAAGCAAACATCTCACCCCAAAGGAAATGAAGACAAAGTCGCCAAAATGCAGACTCAGCTACAAGAGATCCAGGCAGAAGTCCACAGCAGGCAACCCTCCTGTCCTCTCCCACTCCTAATCCAGTCCTCAGACCCCTCACCCCTGAGGGTGGGTGGGAGTCAGAGGAGCTGACCACTGGCCCCTAGGACCCAAGATTTAAGATGTGGGGAGAGTGGAGGGGTCATGGGAGATGAAATGGGCTGAGGTCTGATCACGTCCAAGCACAATGCGGGCAGAAAGTCTCCAAGAAAATTACACAGAAGCCAGAATAAAGCGGGGGATGGGGCCTTAGCCAGTGGATTTCCAACTGATTCATGTTTCAATGGATGGAATGGGGATCATCGCGAAGATAGTAACAAAATACAGGACAGCATTATTTGCCTCAAAACTTCATCTGTGTGACCACATCAGCCAAGGACTAAATGCTCTGACTCATTCCCAGAGATGGAGAAAGAGGCAGGAGGCAGACGAAGGGGGTCAGATCACCCAACTGTCCCTTTGATCAGTCACCTGCACTCACTATGCAGACTCTGGGGTCTGGGGCTGATGGCAGAGTTCCCTCCCTAGAAAGGCTGGTCCGGGGATCGAGGGCTGGGCTCCTGGGAGTGCCTGGGGCTGGGCAGCTCCCGACAAGTGGTGAGTCGTCATATTATCGCTGGTGGCCAGGGATTAGAGCAATGCCGCTGAGCTCTGCTATCTGCTGTCACCTTCATGCCCACTGCCCGCAGAGGCAGAGTGTAAGGATTTATTCTTAAAAACAATCATCTCTTTGTGAAGGGCCTGCTTTTCCTGAGACCAGCAGTGTCTCCTGTTTCCAGCAGTGATGAGACAAGATGTACCAAAACTTGAAAAGTCAATGTCTCCGTGTCCTGGGATCTTTCAGCCAGGGTGGCCAAAGCTACAGAAGGAGATGCCCTGGGAGGGGGGCGGTCTCTGCTGAGCTGGGCTCCCCACTCTGACAACCACTGCACATGCTGGTGTGGATTCCTGGCTCTGCCTTTCTGGTCGGAGTGCCCACAGAGGTGAGCAGAGAGCATAAGTGAAACAGAGAGAAAGAAAGGGAGGGGAGACAGGGATGGGGAGGGAGGGAAGGGAGAGAGAGAATGAAAGAGAAAGAGGGGAAGAGAGGTAGAACAGGGGGTGATGAGAGGGAGGGACCGAGGTAAAGGGGAGGGAGGGAGGAGGCAAGGAGAGACAGACAGACACTGACCCAGAAGCAGAGAAGGACAGTCAGACACCTGAGTACCCAGATAGAAAGGCTGTGGTTGTGTCTCCTGCCTTCAGATTCTGGAAGAAATCTTTGACAATCGCCCCATGTTTGCTTAAGGGAGCCCAAGCCCCTGCTTCTGTCAACCAAGCTCCTCAACAAGGGCCGCCCTCCTGCCTCCAGCTCTGCTCCCCAGGACCTGCCCAGAGCCCCACCCACAGAAGCAAAGGGTGAGAGCCCAGAGTGGGAGCCCAGTCAGGATCGGTGGGAGGCATGGATGGATGAGAGGAAGGAAGAAGGATGGAGGGTGGATGGGTGGATGCTCGTAAACCCACCTGTGACACTTCTTGTGGTTCTGGAGCCTGCCTTGGGTGGCGGGGTGGGCAGCAGCGGGGGGCTGGGGAGCTGGCCCACGGATCTCTCCAGGGGTCTGGGAGGACTGTCCAGGGAGTCGGACCCAGCTAAGGCTTGAGAGGGCTCATCTGTGCTAGGTGGGAGGCTGCTGGCGGCGTCTGATTCTTCCTCTCTGGATGCTGACGACACCTTGGCTGGTTCAAAGGAAAAACAGAGTTCACAAACAGCTGCTTCTCTGCCTGGGGCAGGTGTGAAGACAGTGAGGGGCTTTGGCTGGGTGGGCTTGTTATCATGAGACAGAGGGGTCACTTCCCATACACACGCAATTCCCCGTGAGCTCAACAATCAACAGAAACATCATAAGCAGAGAGAGGAGGGAAGGAAGGAAGAGGGAGACAACTTCAAGAGTGTGGGTGACTCTGTCCCTTTCTCCCATCAGCTTGTGGTACTGAGGCTCCCACCTCACCTGGGGTTGCTGGTCACCAACACAGGCTCTGGAATCAGACCCAAGCTGGCCCTGCACTTTCTCTGTGCCCTTGGATGAGTTACTGACCTCCTGTGTCTCCATTCACGTTGGATGATGTTGGAGTAACAGCCAGAGTCCCTCCCAGGATTGCTGTGAGGTTTAACCAAGAAGCAACAACGACATGCATGCCTAGCACATTGCAGACCCTCAAACTGCTGAGTTATTGATTTTCCATGCCAGATCTTCCACAGCCCTGCACTGGGTGAGCCTGTGAGCTGAGTGGTGAGGGAGAAGGAGGGGGTTTAGCTTTGAGGAAGGGTCAGCCAGCCCAGAGGCCCCTATCCCCTCTTCTTCCAGCTGCTGTTCAGGCTCCTCCCCCTCCAGGAGCACTGCCTGTCCACCCCTGTGCCTTCTCCCCACCCATCAACCCTCTCCTTTCCCCCTTCTCTTTCTCCAGCTCAAGTTCCACCATATCCATCCCTCAACCACCATCTCACCAACACCCCTCAAGCCCTCTGCCATGCTTCCTCTCCACCTAGCTAATTAGGAAAACTCCGTCTCTGGATGCAGCCTCCATCGGTTGGCTCCCGTCACTGTGGAGCATTGTGGAAGAAAGTCAGTGACACGGGAACCCCCATCCTGGCATCTCAGGACCACCTCCCCCCATGCCGTTGGCTCTGCTCCATCCTGCAGTCACTCACCTTCAGACCTTCTCTGTGTCTCTCCTACCTCGACAGTTTCTTACTCCCTCCTCCCTTGCAGCCTCACCTCCAGCTTTACAGAGGAAACTGAAGTCATCAGACCAGGGGGTGCAAGGGAGCGCAAACACAAACCTGCCATCCCTGATATACCATTCCTCCTTCCCTGACTCAAGAAGAGAGGCGGCCTCCCACCCCCACCTTGGGACCCCAGCCTCCCTACCCTCTCAGACCACATCCCAGGTGCCCAGCCCTGGGCAAGGCATTGCCCCACATCATGTAATTTCACCTCTGCAACCACCTATGGGGGAAGATCCTAACTCCCTCTGCAAAGCTGGCCCCAAAGTCACTGTGTAGTATTCACCCATCATCAGTCAGGGAGTATGCCTAGCAGGGAGGGGTGCTGTCCGTGGTGCTGACTGAGGCCGGCCTGATCCTCACAAATCTCTGAAACTATAAAAGGGACACTGCACGTCCCATACACCCCACTGTCATCACCATTTCCATTTACTTATTGCCCCTGTTGGAAGCTGAAGACCTCTCTGGCCAGACCTTCTCCCTTGTGAAGCTCATGGAAATGCAGAAGGGCTGGGCCTCCCAAATCCTGATGAAATGTCCCCTTCCCACCCACTGCAGATGTCAGAGTCAGGTTTGTATCACCGAGAACAGCAATTACAGCATGACCCTCACTTTATATCCTGCATGGATATGCACATGAAAACACTACGGTTTTATTGTTATTACATCTGCCTTATTTAGCTTTTAACTTGAATTTTTTTTAATTGGAGGAAAAATGCTTTATAGTGTTGTCTTGGTTTCTGCCACACAACAATGCGGTTAGTCACAATTTTATGTGTGTATATATATATATACACACACATATATATATATCCCCTCCCTGTTGAACCTCCCTTCCCCCAAACTCACCCCTCTAAGTCATCACAGAGAGCCAGGCCAGGCATCCTGTGTTATAGAGCAGCTTCCCACTAGCTATCTGGGCTTCCATAATGGTCCAGCAATAAAGAATCTGCCTGCCAATGCAGGAGATGTGAGTTGGATCCCCGGGTGGAGAAGATCCCCTGGAAGAGGAAATGGCAACCCACTCCAGTATTCTTGCCTGTTGAGAATTCCATGGATAGAGGAGACTGGCAGACTACAGTCCATGGGGTTGCATAGAGTCGGACATGACTGAGCACGCATGCATACATAGCACTATTCATCTGTTTTACTCATGATAGTGTGTATATGTCAAAGCTACTTTCTCAACTTGCCCCACCTTCTCCTTCCCCTGCTGTGCCCACAAGTCCATTCTCTACTTCTGCATCTCTACTCCTTCCCTGCAAAAAGGTTCATCAGTACCATTTTTCTAGATTGAATGTGTGTATATATATATATATATATACACACACACACACACATATATAAATACATAATATTTGTTTTACTCTGACTGTATTTCACACTGTATAATGGGCTCTAGGGTCATCCACCACACTGCAACTGACTCAATAAAACTGTCCTCAAAAGTATGATTTGTTCATAGAAATTTTTTAAGACTCCTAGACTTCAAGACTAATGTTATATCCTATGAACTGTTACCTGTTACTTCTAAGAGTCTACAAGTCTGATTGTTTTAGTGAAAAAAGTTTCACAAAAATATTAAAAGAAATGTTCTGCTTCTGGGTAAAAACAGATGTGTGGTTTCCTTGTTGAGCCACAGGCGAGTGAGAACCGTCCCTGTTCTCCACATGGGCAGCAGCCCTGTGACTGTGTTGGGTCTCCTGGTCTGTGTAAATCAGCGCAGGGCAGTGGACCCTGATTCCTGGGAGGCCATGCTCCTGGCCCAGGCCCTCAGTGGCCATGCTTGCAGATGCAAGCACCAGGAGTGGGGCTGGCATGAGCTTGAAGGACTAGTTCCGGGCTTGGTTCCTACCCTCTGAGCACCCAGCATGCTCCCCATGTCATGGTTTCAGGGCAGACGGGTGACAGAAGAATGACTCACCTGGCCTCAGGCCCCCCACTCTCCCACATCCATCCTTTTCTTCTGTTGTGATCAACTTATTCAAGAAGCGTGACCTTGGTCTCTAATCGCTAAACCTCAGTTTCCTCATCTGTATAAAATACCCGCTCCTGCCCACAACCAGGGAGGGAGGGAGACCTCCATGAGATCACAAAGCGGCTGTTAGAAGCTATTCAGCACTTTGGACAGTTACAGGCCACTCTGCCAGGAAGAAAAGCATTTTGGAACGGCAGTCATGGGCTCCATCCACCAGATGCTGTGAGACAACCAGACTGTCTCCAGACGCTGCCCAGTGTCCCCTCCAGAGGGATGCCCAAGGCTGAGAGCCCCTGCTTGAGGCAGACACTACTCAGACTTCTGAGGAGATGCTCTGTGGGGTCTTGTGGAGAGGGCGGCCCCTCATGAAACCCACAGCTGTTTGATATTAAGTCTCCTGGGTCCTGTCACCATGCACACTCCAACAGGCCAGTTTCTCCCTCTGGGCCTTGGTCTCCTCGCTGGGACCTGGAAGTATGGACAAGGTGGGCATGTCTGAACTGGGTTCCACAGGTTCCCTTGGGAGGGTCACCGAGAGAACGGTTAGCAAGGAGACAGAGCAGCCCAGGGTCAGGGTCTCCACACCCTTGTTGGCCAGAACAGGTCCACTTGGCTGTCTCAGTACAATCCTCCCACCCCTTTCCCCTCCTCTGTGCCTCCTGGACACCATGTCCCCTGGTACCCTCCCGCTGGTCTCACCTGCTCAGCCCCTCTCAGGCTCCTCTGGACTGCCCCAGCACTAAGCCCTCGGTCCTCTTCTCCTTAACTCACTCTCTCATCTAATTCTCTCCTCCAGTCCTCTGGCTTCAGAATCCATCCCATCTCTGCCGACCCTTGACCCTTTCCCAGCGCTCCAGACTCATCCATTATTAGCCACTCTGACACCTGTGTCTGGAGGGCAACATCAAAATGAAACACAGGCAAACCCATCTCCTGATTTCCCAGGAGAAATCCTTCCCCACTCCCTCTTCTCTCTCACTTATCTACCCATCCATCTCACAGGTGTCTTTGCCGAGGCACCCTCCGAGGAGCTGTGCACAATGACACTGATCAAGACAGAACCCCACCTTCACCAGACTCAGTTCATGGTCCCGCAGCCCCCAGCTGTCCGCCCAGACTGGACACAAGGCTCCGTCCCTCTCCTGTCCTCCTCACCATCCAATGCATGAACACATCCTGGGCACACTCCTTCCAAAATAGTTCTCAGAAATACTGTCCTCTCAGTGTCAGCCACTCCAGCCTCTGCCTGGACCTCAGCAGTGGCCTTCAAGTTCCTTTCTTCCCACCCGTGATGCCCCAAATCTAGTCTCTAAACAAGAGGGTGGCAAACTGTTGTATAAAGGGCTTTGACTTTGCAGGTTATAAGGTCTCAGGAATGGCAACCTACTCCAGTATTCTTGCCTGGACAATCCCATAGACAGAGGAGCCTGGTGGGCTACAGGGCTACAGACCATAGGGTCGCAAAGAGTCGGACAAGACTGAATGACTAACACTTTCATATCATGGCCCAAATTTATTGTCTAAAATAGGGGCAGCAAATCTTACTGTAAAGGGCTCGACTTTACACCTATAAGGTCTCTGTTGGTCTCAGCAGAAAACTCTGCTAGTGGACACAAAGAGCAAACTCCCCTGGCCACCCACCCAGGTGGATGTGGGGCCACCTGTCACCCCCAGGGTTGCCCAGCAGACCTTTCTCAGATGATGGAAATGCTTCCTCTTTCTCTGTTACAGCAGCCACGCTGGCCAGTGAGCACCTGACCAGTGGCTGATGGAACAGGAGAGCTGGATTTTTAAATTGGTTTTGGTTTAAATTCATATAAATCACCATGCAGCTAGCGGACAGGGTGGCTCTGGATTTCTGGGAGTCAGTGGCCATAGCCCTTCAACCGGAGAGATCTCAGGGTAAGCTTCCAGCAGACCTGTGGAGGTCCCCTCACCCCACCGGCCCAAGGTGGAATGTGGGTCCCCACGTGCTCTTAGGGATCTGGAACTCAACACACAAGGCACTTGCAGCCCACACCTCCTGTGAGTCTCTCCTCAAAACTCATCACACATTGAGCCCTCACACCCCAACCAGTCTGAAGGGTCCTAGTCTGGGGAACTGGTATCTCAGCGTCTCCTCTCTAAATCAGCATCTTCCTTCACACCCTGTGTGAGCATGCAGCTACCACTGAATTCCAGAATACTGTGACACTGAAACATTACATCTCAAATGCTGATTTTTTTTTTTTTTTTAATGTAAAAGCGGACGTCAGTTTTGCATGTTCACTGCGTTTGGAATTCCACCCTCAGGGTGTCCCTTCCTGTCCTGACCAGCAGAGGTCGCTGCTCGCCCACTGAGCTCCCAGCCGAAGTCCTGCCTGGGACATGCTGACGGGTGGGGGGACTTGCTTTATAACCAGTTATCACCCACCAGCTGAAAGAGACCAGCCTGAGAGGAGGACGGGGTGGGCTGGGGGGACCGCTGCCATGGTCAGTTTCACTGAACCCCAGTGACACCCAGCACGCTTGGACATGGGCCAGGAGACTGGCCAACTCCCAGAAAAGAGCTTTGACAACTCGGGCCTGGCAGTGGACACTGGTGATATACGGACACCTGCTGAGAGGCTGGTGTTGAGTACAGGGAGGGTGCTATCTCTGCCTGGTCCAGGTTCACGGTGCCAGCCCACGAGCTGATTGTACCGACAAAGGCAGCCTGGGCCTGACCTGTAGCCAGCAATCTGCTGACCCTCCTCTAGATGACAGAACAACCCACATTCCAGAACATGCCAGAAGTACAGCAAAGTCTGGCTATAGTTGGGGCTGTCGAATGTTATACTTAAGAGCATGTCTGGGAATCAAATCCCAGCTTCACCACTGATGCGCTCTGTGGCCTCAGGGAAGTGACTTAAACTCTCTGGTCCATCTTAAAAAAAAAATGGGGGACTTCCCTACAGCTGACTCAGGCTGGTGTTTGGCAGAAACCAACGCAATATTGTAAAGCAATTATTCTTCGATTAAAAATAAGTAAATTTAATTTTTACAAAGTGGGGGCCTTCCCTGGTAAAATGATAAAAGATTCTCCTTGTAATGCAGAGGACACAGGTTCGACCCCGGGTCAGGGACCTGAGAACCCACATACCACAGGGCAACTAAGTCTGTGACCACAACTCCTGAGCCCATGAGCCCTAGAGCCTGTGCTCTGCAATAAAAGAAGCCGCTGCAAGGAGAAGCTCCAGTACTGCAACTGGAGAGGAGCCCCGACTCACCACCACTAGGGAAAAACCTGAATACAGAAATGAAGACTCAGCGCAACCAGAAATAAAATATTTTTAAATGGGGCTAAGATAATCCAGCACACAGAGAACATGCTCCCTGAATGCCACTTTTCCTTTAAATTAACGTGGGAACACCGGAGCTCAGCCCCAGCCCCATAGAATCCAGTCCCGCTTAACATCAAAACAACGGGTCCTCCCGGGACTTTTGGAGAATGTTCTATGGCTAATGCCACACCATCCACATAAAACCAGGAATCACCCCAAGCACAAAAGCCCAAAGTCAACCCAAATCACTGAATCCAATCTTCTCAGCTCCCAGCCACAGTGACTGCGTGGGAACAAGGGCCCAGGGGGCGTGGACTTTGATGGCTGAAAAGCAGCTAGCTACACACGTGAATTTTTGTGAATGCTCCTGGGTTTTAAGCCCAGGCAATGTTGGAAGTGGTGAGTTTAAGGTCTCTGCATTAGATTTCAATCCACTTCCTCATTGAAGGGGCTTCGCTCAAGGTCAGGCTTCCAGAAGAGCCTGGAGCGGCAGTCCTGGTCCATGTTCTCGGTGCAAGATTTGTGACCTACAGCGCTGCCAGAGACCCGGGGGAGTCCCCATTCAAAGCAAAACTCAGGTGCACACACATCCCCAAACATGCGTGCTGTTAGTGTCAGGGCCTCTGGGGGGCATTGGCAAGCAACCCAACACCAGGAGTTAACGCATCGACCTCCCCCAAAGGGCTACTTTTCCACAATGTATGTGTGTGCTCAGTCGTGTCTGACTCTTTGTGACCCCAGGGACTGTAGCCCGCCAGGCTCCTCGGTCCATGGGGTTCTCCAGGCAAGAATACTGGAGTGGGTTGCCATTTCTTTCTCCAGGGGATCTTCCCAACTCAGGGGTTGAATCCTCATCTCTTAGTCTCCTGCACTGGCAGGCAGATTCTTTACCACTATCGCCACCACAATGATGATGACAAAAGTGATGATGAGCATAAAGGTGATGATGACAGCAGCAAACACTTGTGAGCCCTCATTGTGAGTGACAACTAAGCTAAGTGGTTTCACTGTAGCAACCCCAAGAGGTGTGTGCAACATGACACCATTTACGGTTGGCGACACAGGTTCAGAGAGGCTAAGTGACTCGTTCATGGTCACACAGTGAGGAGTTCAGTCACATCTCAAACCCAGGTCAGGCTGATGTCAAAGACATTGCTCTCGAGTTTCTAGTTCTATACCTTTGGAGCTTCCCTGGTGGCTCAAAGGTGAAGAATCTGCCTGCAGTACAGGAGACATGGGCTTGATCTCTGGGTAGGAAATAGCAACCCACTCTAGTATTCTTGCCTGGAGAATTCCATGGATAGAGGAGCCTGGGGCAGTGCAGTCATGGGGTCACAAAGAGTCAGACACGACTACAACTAAAACAACAACAAAAATCCTTGGATGAGTTACCTGTGTACCCCCTTTTCATCAACAAGTGAAAGAGGGCAACAGCATCAGTCATCTGGGTCTTCTTCCAGGGTTCCATGGGCCAACATACGTGACAGCACTTAGAACGGCGTCATGCACACAAACAGCCACGTGCGTTGGCTCTTGGGGTCACCAGCGTTACGATAAAGGTCAGTAGCTGCTGTCACACTGACCATACCTCAAAGGAATGAACCAGGCCTGCTGCCTCTAAGGACAGCCTTCCACCAAGGCTGCTGCCCAGCACGGGCCAGGATCCTTGTCTCACCCAGGTCAACAGTCATCCTCGGAGAAGCTCAACCCCAGTGTCCAGTCAATACCTGCATCGTCTGCCTGGTTATCCGAGGCCAGCGGCTCATCCAGGGAGGCCTGGTCTGTCCCTGTGGCCAAAGGGCTTCCCGGCGCGGCTTCCTCTGAAGGCAGCGGCTCCTGCTGGGGTGTGGAGGGTTCGCTCTGTGCGGCACGGGGCTCTCCGTCGGGACTGCATGCTTTGTTCTCAGCATCTGCAAGAATGTCAGCTGTCAGCCGAGCCTGACTCCCTTCCTACTTGCTCTCATTCACACAAAGTGACTTCCTGGAAGAACACCATCCCAGGCCTGGGGTGGTACCCTGCATTGCTCCCACACACCCTGGGAACTCTTCTCCATCTCCAGTCTCCCTAGGGCAGCACCAGTGTCACAACAGCACACCTGCCCTGGCCTCTACCTGTACCACGTCCAACCCACACCTGAGCCTCTGTGATGCCCCTGTCCCACCAGCCAAGGGCACCCAGACAGGTGATGACAAGCGCCGATTGCTGTCCATCCCCGAGGTGCTAGGTTGTTACCATCGTGGCTATAAATAACCTTCCACTTCAGCACCCCCATCCCACCATTTGGTCCCCAACACACAAATGCTTCTCGTTTGTCAGATCTGACATTGTGCCAACCCTGGAAATCTGCAGGTTAACAAGACAATCCTTACCCACCTCCCACAGGAGACTTAAACTCTGGGCGGCCACACATGGCATCACCAGCCCAGGAACAGGGCACAGCCCAGGGTTGAGCGGGAATCAGGGAGTCCTTGGTCTAGACAGTGGCCATCCGAGGACGGAGGATACCAGACTCCTAGCAGGACACCTCAAGAAGGACTGGCACCGCCCCTTGCTTGGGGCTCAGCGGCTGGAACCCTTGAGGGTCTGGCCCTTGCCTGGTTGATTGCCCTTCTGGGGTCATATCTTAGTTTTGAGGGGTTCGATGCTCTGGAGCATAATGACTGATTGGTCCAGGTCACACAACCACACAGCGCAGGTCCAGGCTGGAGGCCCAGCCAGTCAATCATGGTCAGCTCTGAGACACAGCTTCCAGCCCTGGGCTTATAGCACCCACACAGCCCCCTGCACACCCTAATCCCCACGGCTGGTTCACCCAGCCACCATGGGGCAGTGTAACCTATGCACATCCACACTGCTGGCCTGCTCAGCACCGTAGGGGTGCCAGCCTGGCTTGGAGAACACGGAGGCAGGGGGAGGACTTATTTCAGAGCTGGGAGTCCACTGCCTAAGTCAGGTGGCCATATCCCTCCCACTCCCCAAAGTGTCCAGGTGGGACAAAAAGTATAAGGTTTCCCTCTTCACCCATCCCACCCTACTGCCCCCAGTTCTTGTGCCCAGGCAGCAAATGGCTCCAGGCCTCAACTTCCACTACTGTAGAATGGGGCTAATAACTCCTTGCTTCAGAGAGTCAGTGCAAGGATACAGTGAATTAATGTCTACAACACGTCTGACATAAAGCAGACACCACGCATGTGCTTTCATTACCCTCATTGTTGTTGAAGAGGAAGAGGGAGAGGATGACAACGGTGATGGTCTGGCCATTCGCCTGGGCCCCTCTGCCCATGTGTTATCAACAACCTTCCTGAACAGGGCCCTCCCCAACCCAGGACCCGGGCCAGGCCCGTGATGAGACACCCTGGAGGGACATGCGCTTGTCATCACTGTTGTTCATCTGCTGCATGTCCCCTCAGGGGAGGCAGGTGGAGAGGGCAGAAAAGACAGAAGTCTGAAGATCTGGGGCCCATAAGATGACATCTGTGCAGCCATGTCACCTGGCCGGGGACAGGGTCTAGACCAGGTACCGGTGACCCCTTCCCAGAAAAGAGGAGTGACCAGTATTTTTATTTTTGACTTTCTGGACCACAGGCCGCAAGATCCATACTCCTTTTTTATTTTTATGAGAATACTTTAAATTTTAAACCATTTTAAGCTCAAGGGGCTTTACAAAAACAGATCCTTGGCCAGATCTGACCAGCCGTCAACCAACCCCACCCCAGGAAAAGACCAAGACACAAGCCAAGAGAACTCGCCCAGTGGACACAATTAGAGGTCACCAAGCTCGGAACTACAGCGTCTTGGGCCCTCTCTCATGACTGGTTTACACACACCTGGCCCACAGCCGTGACAGTCCCTGCTACCAGCTTACCTGTCCGCTGGTGACAGGTGACAGCCAGCACCGACTGAGGCTTTGCAGGACTGTAGGTACTGTGCTGGCACCGCCTCACCTGAGTGGCATAGCCCCCCACCTCTTTAGGTCCTATATAGATGGGGACCCCAAATTTTAGAAGTGGTGGCTCATTTGCTGCTGGTGATGATCCCTGTTAATAATAAAGGCATCTCCATCCTCCTCATCAATAAAATGGTCAGAACACTGAACCTGAAAGAGACCCAAAGTCCCCACCCTCCACAGGGCTCAAGAAATGCTGCACCCCAGCACACGGTTCTGGGGTTCCTCCACCTGCTTCTACAGCTTAGCAGGTTTGCATGACTCTTTTGGGCTGTGCTCAGAGCTCCGGCTCATAATCATGTTCAATGAAAAGTTACAGTTCTCAAAATAGCCCGGGTGGCTGGGTCGTTGCTAAGCAACGCTGGGGGGTAGGGAAACTGTGGGCAGCTGGTCCCCTGCTCCCCTCACTGTACGTTGGTGCTCTGTCCCCGCCAGGCCCTTCCAAGGGCGGCAGAGGGGAGCATGAGCCAGGGTCATTCATAGAGCAGCCACGGAGAGAGAGGATATGCCACAAACATGCAACGCGCACAGTGCAAGCACACGCATGCATGCACACACAGACAGACAGACAGACACTGCCCCTGGTGTTCCTGCCAGACTTGTCACTGCCAACCGCCCCAAGGAGAGGGACCCCGTGGTCTCTTAGGTCACTTGAACACAGCGTAGGGGTAACCACCTCATTCTCGGACCACTGATGCAGAATGAAAGTCCTTAAGTTATTTAAGACAAAGCCAAGAGGACACACACAGGAGGATCAGGGAAAGTCACTCGGGAGAAAGTCACTCACACAGAGCAACTGGCCAGAGAAGCGGGGGTACTCCTGTCCTTACTCAATGTGCTTGGACAGGGGAACCCCATGTCGGGCTGGGATGCCGGCCAGCCCTTGCCTGACACAGACACATCACCAGCCAAAGCAGTGAAGACAGAGTGAGGGAAAGGTCAGCTCCTCACTCCAGGCAGACCCGGTCTCATCTTGAGTCTCCTAGCAATGCCAACAGGGTCCTTCCTGGATCCGGCAGATTCTTAGAGCTTCAGGAACCAAGGCGAACTCAGAGGAGTTCATACAAAGCACGTGTTCACAGTATCACAAAATAACACACCGCCCCCCTCACCAGGAGCGGGGAGGGTAAACCCACTCGCTGGACATAGGCTCGTCTCGGGGATGCACGGGCACCCCTGCAGGCCCGTCCACAGCCAGCTCATGCTGCCATGATCCTGACTGCCTTGTGGGCAAACTCTGGAGCCGGGGGCATGTCCACGTACATGTGAGTGCCCACCTGTGCAGGGCAGAGGACCTTCCTGGGTTGGCCTGGCCAAGGGGGTCCCAGTGCGAATTCCTGGGGCTTTGAAGGACTCCAGGCCACTCTGGGCCCCTGGGTTACTATCACAGGCTCACTTGGCCTCCCAGGTGCCCCCCAGTGTGAAGTCCAGGCTGGGGTAGGGGAGACTGGCCACAGGGGGGCACTCCTGGCTACCTACCGGCCCAGTTGGGCAGGTGGGGAGGGGAAGGCCATCTTCTCAACTGTGTGGGGGGTGGATGGTTCAACTCGCAAGGCCACAGATTCTTATCAACCCAGCAGGAACTGTGCTGTCCCAACTGCAGGACAAATTAGGGACAGACCAGGCCTGACCAAGAGCTGAACCTCACCTGCAGTGGGTACAGGCATTTTCTGGACAAGCGCAGGACTGAAACTATCAGCCCAACAGGCACTTGCCCCAGGAGGCCACAGCCAAACATTCTCAGGTCTCCTCTTATCACTGTGTGTTCATTACACAGTCGGCGCAGAGTTTAAGGGGTACGAGTGGGTACTGAGCCCACATCCCTGACCCCTCCCTGACCCAGGTCGCTTCCTGGGGCAACCCATGCTGCCTGACTTCTCACACATGCCCCCCAACCAGTGACACCCCCCAACCAGTAATGCCCCCCAGCAACACCCCAGGAGGCTCACCCCAGGCTCCACCCACTCATCCTGTGGCTTCCTGGGACCCCCGTGGCCCCAGAGGAGCCTGTCACCAGCCGCTCCTGGGGAGCCTTGTTCTCTTGGCTCTGTCCACGTTGGAGGAAGAGGCAGGAGGGCCCTAGGCCCTGTGAGACACCAGACTCTCTCCCTCTCCCCATTCCTGACCTCCCCGCTTCCCCACCCACCTTCTCTCAGCAGCTCCTTCTTGAGGTGCCTGCTCCCTTCCCCCATGGGGTCCTGCACAGGCTGCTCCATGGGGCTGGAAGATGCTCCCCAATTCCCTATCGCTCTCCGTGTCTCGCCGGAGGCAGCACCAAAATTAGATCCAGCTGGGGAGGTTTATAAAGTAGGCCGCTAAGCCCCACCCCCACGCCTTGGACAGCAGAGCTCCCAGGTGACCCTGATTGTAGCAAATTCCAGAAGCACCTTTGGACGCTCCAGCATCAGCCCCGCTCACGTTCTCCATGACCCGTGCCTCTCCTTCACCACACTCAACTCAGCTGTGATTGTATGCTGACTTGTGGGATTATCTAATCTTTGTTTCCCGCCAGACTGTTGAGTTCTCTGGTAGCTCAAATAGTAAAGCATCCACCTGCTAATGCAGGTAGACCTGGGTTTGATCCCTGGGTTGGAAGGATCCCCAGGAGGAGAACAAGAAAACTCACTCCAGTATTCTTGCTTGGAGAATCCCATGGACAGAGGAGACTGGCGGGCTACAGTCCATGGGGTCACAAAGAGTCAGACACGACTGTGCAACTGAACAACAATAATAAAATTAAAGCAGTCCGCAATTCCATCTCAGCGATGACATTCTCCTAAATCTGAGACACAGACTAGACCATTTAACATCTGAAAGTCCCAGCACTTGATACCAAACCCCCCTTTTTTTCTTGTACCAGGCAAAGTTGGATTTTTAGCACTAATTTCCCATGTAGTTTTCCCTGAAAACAGTATCATCAAACTACTTTCCTTATCAAATCCAAAGAAGAGAGAGGACATGAGGGCCCTGCCTGAAGCAGAGCATCTTATAAATCTGGATTCACTGACTCCATGGGCTCCCTTCCTACTTCCTGATGCCTGGGCCAAATCACCAAGACACTAGGAATATCTAAGTGTCTTATCTTAGTATATATCTTCATATCTTATGGAAATAGGAATTCCATTTAGTCATGTGTCCTTGGGGAACTAGCTCTGTGAGGCTGAGTTCCTTCAATCAAGGGGGCAAGAACTTGGTTCAGCTCTAGAAACACTGGTAAGCAGCAGTGAGGTTTTCTGAGACGCCCCCCGCCCCTTTTCCCACTCTCGCCAAGCTTCAGGGAACTAGAAAGCAAGAAGCTTAAGGTCAGAATCCAAGTCCTATGCCTCACACCATCACCAAGGGAGGAAGATGGGGGATCTCAAGCATTCTGTAAATTAGTTGTGATGGTAATAAAACTGTGTGTTTCTCAAAGAAGCAAACACAGGCAACCACACAGATGCCACGCTGAGTACTGTCTCTGGACCAGAGACTGAACAGCATCGGGGCCCTCCCTCTGGCTGTGTCCCAGGGCAGCCACCTCCCAGGCGCTCCCATTCCTCATTTGGAGACAGGGATAACACTACACCCAGTCCCGAGGATGCTGCGAGGACCAAAGAACGAAGGTGAAGCCAGCACAGCAGCGGGTGTATAGTCGGCACTTAAAAAACAGTAGCTGCAGTCCTAGGCGGTCATGAGGAACAAAGACTCAAAAAATCAATGACTAAACTACGAATGTGAAGTCACCGCTATGACTCCAGAGGAATTGGCACAAACCATCCACACCCGGCTGGGGTGGGAAGCAATCCCTCATTCCCCAGGGCAAGTGGTTGACTCACACTCATGGAGGGGTCCTCAGAGCCATGGGTCCCGACTTGGAAAACTTCTCTAACCATGGAGGCCTCAGTCCAGTGCAGCTGCCACCTCTGGACAACAGACTCCTGGGACACTCCACCCTGAGGGATTTGCTGGGCCCCCATGAGACGCCCAACTCTGTGTTCCTGGGCCCACTTACCTTGCTCCATCATCTCCAGCAGCCCCTTCTTGATGAGGTCCTCCCGGCCCTGCCTGCCGGCCATCTTCTTCTCCAAGGCTGCACGCAACACAAACATCAGGTGAGTCCCAGGCTGAGCATCTCAGGCCCCACCCCGAGCCCCAGCCAAGGCCACCTCCAGTTCAGGAAGAGAGCAGTGAAGCAGCAGGTGACCCTGGGTCAGGGGGCTACAGGCGGGGGTGTGGTCAGGAACCCAAGCTCCCTCACCAAGCAGTGTGCTGATCATGTACCGGAAAGCCGGGCCTTGGGGAGGTAAATGAGTTCTGTTTAAGGCAGTGGTTTTCTGCCTTATCTGAGAAGTGATGCCCAGAACACCACCCTCCTCTAAGTTCTCACTGGCCATTCTTTGGCTGAATTCACCTTCACTTACCAACCCAGGGCCCTGGTCCCTCTCTGCCCTCGATGCTCTGGGGTGCATGTCTGCGGTTCTATATATCCTGGCCGCCCTTTTGTCTGTTCACAGATCAGCCTTCTGCACAACTGCCCCACTGGAGGCTCCTTCAAGAAGCCCAGGTTCACCCTTTCAAAGACTGTGCCAGTCAAATAGGAAGGAGGCAGGCTGGCCCCATTCCCCTCCACTGATTCTAATGTGCAGAAGGACCCTTGTCAATTTCTCCTTCAGAATAGCCCTTTGGCCCTTCTCCTAGAGAAAAGCACTCCAGTAACTCGCCCCTGCCCCTCTCTCTCCCCTCCCAGGGGCCAAGCTCACTTGCTTGACGAGCTCCTTTTCCCCCTAACTGTCCAGAAACAAATCTGCCTACAGTAGAATGCAATTCCCAAATACAAACCCATGTCATTCCTCAGGTCCTCTCTTTAAAAGATGCAAAGTGCTGGCTATGAGCCTGGGTCACCAGGGGCCCTGAGAACCCCACACATGTGAGTGCTCAGTCCAATGCAGGTTACGATGGGGAACAGAACTGCCATCTGACCAGTGAAGCTTAAAGTCTAGTGGCCGATGACAAACAGATGATGTCAAGGGTCATCGAATTTATTCAAAAATATTTACTGAGCACCTATTCTGTTCAGGCATGGGGGAGAGGCATGAGCTCTGCCTGTGGGCCAGCGCTTTGGCACAGAGGACTCACATCTAATACAAGCAGGCCAGTGGCATCAACCAGAAGCAGACAGCCTGGGACAGGGCGTCCAGGGAGCCCCGGTGGCCTCCCTGAAGGCACTGACTCAGGGATGACTAGGAAAACCCCAAATGTATCGCGAAAAGACATTTGGGGCAAAGGGAACTTAATTTCCAAGCCAATTTCCAGGTGCCAGAAGTGTGGATAAAACCGAGTAATTGGGTTGCCATTTCCTTCTCCATGGGATCTTCCTGACCCAGGGATGGAACCCAGGTCTCCTGCATTGCAGGCAGATTCTTTACAGCCTGAGTCACCGGGGAAGCCCCATGGAACTCTGGCTTTGGGGGGTACAAGCAAAGAGGCTGCTGTCCAGCCCAAAAACAGGGGCGAGCACAGCCAGAGTGGGGTCTCTGAACTGAGGGACCCCGTCGTCCGACCAGCACTGGGGGGGTGCTCACGGGAGGCTGGCCTGGGTGCAGGACATCACGTGTACCGGCTTGTGAGTCCTCCCGATGTAGGAGGCAGAGCCAGGAGCAGTGTCCGTATCTCAGGGACACTCACCCCCAGGAGATACAGGCTGCATTGCCACTTCCAGACTTCAGGCTTTGGGAGCCACCTTCATGGTGTCGCCCAATCCCCACTCTGGCCAAACTACTGTCTGCTTTGTTTTTTTCCCTTTAAATCATCTTTATTTTTACTTCATCTCATCCTGGCCAAGGATGCCTGTGAAATCAGGGATTTGATACGCTGAAGTAAATAACATCCCACACTTTGGGGGGAGAGAATGGTTTAGAATAAATAAATGAGATGCAGTACTGTCTGCATAATTCCAAATGCTTGATAAAGGACCCAGTGCTGGGGATGCCAGCCTGAAGGCAGGGGTGCTGCAGGTATTCACCTGGAGACCCTCAGGCCCCTGGCAAGGACCCCACAGCTCTCTGATAAGCTCACAGGTCACCTCCTGCAGCCCAGTGCCAAGTGAACCAGGGGCACAAGGTCCCAAGAGCACACAGCTCACCCTCCAATCCCAGGATCAGAGAGCACCAGGGGCTCTCCGAGGTCACAGAGATCACCCTATTCCAGCCCCCTGAGCCTTTCACTGATGCCCAACCTGGCGCATCTGCACGGCCGTTCCCACAGCTGCGATGCTCTTCCTTGCTTTTCTCCAGAGGCCAATTACACCTCAGCTCAGGGTCACTGCCTCACCTGGGTCTTCTCAGGCCACCCATCCCAAGGCCATGCCCACCCCACCCACCTGCTCCCCAGCGCCTGCGCCGAGATCCTGACTGTCACGTGCTCATTCCCTTGCTTGTCTGTCTGTCTCCCTCCTCCTTCCCTTGGAGGAAAGCTACAAGCAGGCAGTGTCTAGTCCCCCTCTCTAGCTCTCTGGCATATGGAGCTGCATCAGATTCATCGAGTATCAGTGTTTGTTCTGCTTTCATTCTTGACGAGGAGAGCCTGTCAATCAAATTCTTGGGCAGTTAGAAACATAATCTTGTGAAACACGTACACAGTGTGAATGGAGGACTCGCTGATGCTATTAGGAGCCTCCGCTCCTCACAAGTGGCTTTGCCGCCGCCGTGCTCTGAGCGCTGGAGTCAGCGCCACTTCAAGGCTGGGACCCCCGGGGACTGTCAGAGGCAGCAACCCAAGGAGGGCACTTCTCAGTCAGGTCCCCGGGGCCCAGGACTAATTCCACGCCAGCGCCTCTCTCGCTAATTGTTTCCAGCCGCAGCTAACAGGGCCTGTGGGAGCTGAGAGTCTCTCTCTCTCCCCCGAGTTTGCCTTTCAGGGCACCGACCTCCCCTTCACCCAGGGCACCAGGCACCCACCTTGGCACCCAGGAGCCAGACCTGAGCCCGGCTGCCCCACGACCCACCGCTGCTCAGCCCTGGAGGCGGCTGCCCGTCTCATCCCACCTCCTGTCCTGATACGACAGGAGCACGGGCGATGGGATCGTTCTGAGCACTTAGTTGGTTAGAAACATGCTGTGTCGCTTTTACCCTGACAGTTAGTCATGTCATTGTCACCAAATCTATCCCATGGGTCTGGCTCACTGCTGGGGCAGGGGCAAAGGTACAACCTCTTGTTACCCAACTTCCCACAGAGCTGAAGGTGACTGAGGGGGGCTTCTAGAACCTTCAGTGGGTGGGATGCCCAGATATGAAGTTTCTTCAGGAAGAACTTAGGAGCCGGTGAGTGGCAGGCCATCTTCTGTAGGAGCCTTGAGGCATCACAGCCAAACTGATGGCCTTCACCATCTGAATCACCAGGGGGACTCTTGGGGTCAGTGGTTGTCTCCAGGCTCCGGGTTGTCAAAGTGAGTGTTCTGGTGCAGAAGGGAGGGCGGTTCCTACTCAGGTGTGGTCAGTCAGAAGAGATGGTTACCAGCTGGGTCTCGCCCCAGACTGGCCCTGCACCGACCCCAAGTCTGCATTCTTAACTAGGTCAAGGGGGTCATGTGTGCCCCATGGGGTCTGGGTGGTGCATGGGCTATGGGTGTGCCTGGGGCTGATGCCGCACCCCCAGCCGGGGACCTGGAGGGACCAGAGGAGGAGGGGACCGCAGAAGGCTGAACAGCTCCTGTCATAGAGGCCACAGAGCACAACCCGCCCCTCCCAACATCTGCAAAAGAAAGCAAGGTGACAGTGACATCAGGCTTCCGCCCCCCCACCTGCCCCCCAACCTCTCTCCCACACCCACACTCACCTGACGTGGTCTGCTTCAGTTTTTCATTTTTCTTTTTCCTCCATTTCCAGGGTTTGAAGATTCTGCCCAGGGTGGCCAGCTTGCTGTTCCTCCTCACGGGGGGAGTTCGAATCCCTGAGACCAGATATTCGGAGCGCACTGGGGGGGTTTGGTCCATCTCATCTGGAAGGAGAAAACACAGAGAGGGGTCAGTGGTGACCAAGCCCACACAATGCCCTGGTACCACAGTGATCCTCCAAAGCCCGGGGATCAAGAGGATGGTCCAGGCGATGGACACACTCTCATCTTCCATCGTGTACCAGCCCACGTTCAAGTGCACACCCAATAGATTAATTCACCTCTTGCTTCCTGTGAGAAGGAGCTGGGAGCCTAAGTTTTTCCAGAACCAAGAAACCCCAGAGAGACCTGGAGATGCAAGAAGAACAGGGCTGGAATGAGCGAGTACCAGGCCACAGGAGACTGCCAGCAGTCAGAGGGGCCGGGGCCTGGGGTGGGCTGGTCATCACCAGACCCAGCCTGATGCCCCATGTGACAGGCCCCCTGGCCAGCAGCCTCCAGAGAAACCCCCAAGGTTTGACTTCCCAAGGGCGTTTTTCTCATCAGCAGCCCAAGCCATACAGCCCCCTGAGCTCCCGTGTCCACATCTGGAAAACAATGGTCATCCCTCATACCTAGGGTGGAGAGGAAGTTTCTGTGTGACCATAGGATGGCCATGAAGTCTGGAGACATACGGAAGCACATGAAATACACAGTTTATTGATAGCATGTTACAATCCATGTAAGGTACTATTATTTGTGTTTTGAAACTGTGGACACTCTGATTAACATGGCACACCAGCATGGGGGACTTCCAGCATAAATTTTCAAGAAAATAATTTATATTATATAAGCAATATAATATTTCTTATGGAGTGAAAGTTACTGCTTGTTCAGGGCTGGATGCTATGGTATTTTATTCCCATAGTAAAACTATGAAGTGGAGACTGTTATTACACCCATTTTACAGATGGGAACATTGAGGCTGTCAGAGCAACAGAATTCTGGTCTCAGGCAGTCTAACTCCAGAAACCTCTCTCATATTGCTAAGCTGCTTCTAGGTTGATGATACAAATTTATTGCCCAGAGCAGGAACCAAATGGATGGATGGATGGAACACAACAAGAGATATAAACCAAGATGGTCCCAGCCAACCACTCTCTCTAGCTGTCCCCACACCCTCCTCCCACCCACCACCAAGGGGGATATGGAATTTTAGTTCCCTGGTCAGGGATAGAACCCATGCCCCTTGCAGTGAAAGTGCAGAGTCTTAACCACTGGACCACCAGGGAAGTCCCCCTCCAGCTGTTATTAATCGAATGTTAAATATATACCGGGGACTGGCTCCACAAAGCAATCCCATGTGGACAGACAGTCCAGGGGTGTCTTGTTTGAGAACTTCTGCCCGCAAACTCAGTGAACCAGCCAGGCTCCTAAGCCAATGCCATCCTCCACCTTGTGTTCACCTAAGACCCTAGGGCCAAACATCCAGGAGGGGCCCAGGGCTTTTGGGTCAGGAAATAAGTGAGTCAGGGCAGTCCAAGGACTGGTCACGGATCCCCAGCTCCACGCTCCAGGCGTGCAGGTTGCAGACGGCCCTTCTTTCGCCAGAGGAGGTTTATTCCATGTTACATCCTCTCCCTTCCTTCCTCCGCCCACGGACGCCAGATGGGAGCAGAACGGCCAGAACCACGTGGCCCCAGGAAAGCTGACTGTCCTGAAGGCATTATTGGCACAAAGGGGAAAGAATTGGCCAGGTCTCCCCAAGCTTCTGGGCTGGTTTGAAGATAAAGACATCCCCAGAGATGTACATGGAGATGGGGAAGAATTGCCATCACATTGTTTATATTAATGCCTCATCTCACTCCACAAAGGATGTGTGGCCATTACATAAACTCATGCCCAACAAGATACAATGAGTGAGGAAATCTGAAAGAAAAGGAGTATGGACAGGGCCACTGCATCAAGGGTTAGACACCACGTGTCACTCAGAGCTTCCTAGCAGCCAAAGCAAAAAGGAGCAGCCCAGAGAATAAACCACAAATCAGACCCCAAACCTCACTCTGTCTGCACCTGAATAGCTGGACTTCAACCCAGGTCACCAGCATCTCCATCCCAGAAGCCCACTTACTAAGTCATTTCAGTCGTGTCTGATTCCCTATGACCCATGGACTATAGTCCACAAGGCTTCTCTGTCCATGGGATTTCCCAGGCAAGAATACTGGAGCGAGTTGACATTTCCTTCTCCAGGAGATCTTCCCAGTCCAAGGACTGAACCCATGTCTCCTGCATTGGCAGGTGGATTCCATCTGCTAAGAAACATACAGTGCAGTGGTGGCTCAAGAAGTTTTCAAAGGAGATGAGAGCCTTGAAGATGAGGAGCACAGTGGCTACCACTGGAAGCTGACAGCAAGCAGTTGAGAAGATCATCGAAGCTGATCGTCTTCCAACTAGACAAGAAGCTGCCGAATGTCAACCATTCTAACAAAAGTCCATATGAGTCTTCAAATGGCTGTTCCCTGTGAACCCCGACAATGAAACTCTGCCCATATCACTTTCCTGCTTACTCCCCGTGACCTCTCTTCTCATTTAGGACAAAACTACCAAGTCTGCAAAGGGTTCTGAGGTCTGCTCCTGACCACGCCCACCTCACTCCTGCCCACTGGCCCACCTTTCCCATTTCATCATCATCACCCTATGCATTAGTGTCTATGGCACTTATGTCACAGGTGTTAGGATGCAGGTGCCAGAACCAGGCATTGGGGCTCACTCACTCAGCTCTGTCCCTCACGCCACCCTCCTTCTCCCCTCTGCATCCTTACCTTTGCTATGGCCTTGCTGGGGGAACAGGGAACAGGGGACTTCCCAAGTCCTCATCTGCTTTGCTTGAACCCATGAGAGGCAGGCAGAAGGACAGCGCAGCCCCTTCCCCATCGCCCCCTCCCCTCTCCCTCCACCATCACCACCATCACTACTTTAATCTATGGTCTCCTTGCTGCCCCACCTCACCTCTGCCCCCTAGTGGCTTGAGCAGGTACTGTGGTTCCCACCTCACTTTGGACACACCTGGGTCCTCACAGTACAGTCTGGGACACAGGCAGCCTGTGGTCACTGAGCAGACTTCACTCCACACTCCTCTTGAGAGAACTCACTCACTCATTTATTCAACAAAAACCTACTGACACCAGGCATGTGTCGGGAACTACACCAGGCATGTTTCGGGAACTGCACCAGGAGGAGGAGGCACAGAGGTGAACAGAAAGGATCTCTGCCTTCATGGGGCTTCTACCACCTGCGGGATGAACAACAGGTGTGGCTATTAAGAAACCAGGCCTGTTCGCCACCTTGCTCCCTGCTGCCTTCCTCTCCTGATTTTTCCCCATCACATTTATCACCTGGAGTATGGGCTTTCCTGATGACTCAGCTGGTAAAGAATCCTCCTGCAATACAGGAGATACAGGAGGCGTGGGTTGGATCCTGAGTTGGGACCATCCCCTGGGGAGGACATTGAAACCCGTTCCGGTATTCTTGACTGGAGAATTCCATGGACAGAGGAGTCTGGCAGGCTACAGTCCATGGGATCGCAAAGATTCAGACATGAGTGAGTGACTAAGCAGACACGCACGTGTATGTGTGTGTGCCTGCATGCACACACACACACACACACCCCTGCACAATTACTTGTTTGCCTGCTGCTCACAGTCACCTCCCTAATTGGAAGGCAGGGTCTGCCTTTGACATACGGTTTGCAGCCGAACCCCTCGTGTCCAGAACACATGAGGCAGAACCCACGTGCTGAAGGCGATCTTTCCAGACATGAGGATGGATTGACAGAACCCAGCACCTTCTCAGGGAGCTGGGGGAATGTGGGACTGACTGTAAACAGCCGGTTATGAAAGGCTGCTCTGAGCGGGGCTATTGGAGCAAAAGCCTGGATGAGAGGGAGCCAGCAGTGTAGATGGGAGTGGGGCAGGGGAGAGGGTCCTAGGCAGAGGAGGAGTGAGCTCAAGGGCTTGGAGGAAGAGCACAGTGGGGGAGGGCTGTGGATGGGCTGGGGAGGCAGGCAGAGGCTTGAACTTGATTCAAAACCCAGCAAGAGCCTCTGGGGTTCTTCAGCTCAAACAACTGGATTTGTTCATTTATCAAATATCCAATGTGTGTGGCCAGGAAGACACCTCAGTCTGAGAGACTCCCTGCGGTGGTGGGGGTGGGGGTGGGGGGTGTCCTGCTGTCGTGGGAGGAGTAAAGACCCCTGAGCCCTGGTGGGGAACCCCTGCAGAGGTCTGAAGGCTGTGCCCCCGCCGCCCTCTGTCCCTGCCTGCCCCCAGGTGAGGACTAGGCCAGGCGAGGGCTGTGGCTTACAATCCAAGGTCAGAAACTTCAGAAGAGATGCACAGCCAGCGAAGGAACCGCTTACAAGCCACTGGAGGCCATGCATGTGTCACTGATGGCCTGTCTGGAGGTCTGAGTGAGCAAAAGTGGGAAGGTCCTCCCGGGCACCGCGAGGCCCACTCACACTGGCAGGTGGCAGTGAATGCGGCCAAGAACGTATCTAGGAGAGAGGGTGTGCATATGTGTGAGCCTGTGTGGGTGGGCACGTGTGCACCCGTACACGTGTGTCGCACAGAGGAGAGAGGCTGAGGGGACTGCCGCCCCCCTCCCCAGCCCGTGAATTTGCTCAGCATCCCTGGAGTTGCTGGGGGGCCTCCTTCCCACATCGGAGAGGATTCCTGGAGGTGCAGACACATTAGTAGACTCTGAATGGTGCAGTGGCACTCAGTTCCAGGGGCATCTCTGCCACCTGCGGGCATTAGCAGTTAATTAATGAAAACTGTTTTCTCCACATCTGCTGAGGAAGTACAGCCTGCAGTGACAGGGCGGGGCGGGGCCTTGCAGGCTCCCACATGATGGATGGGGCAGGCGCCCTGCCCTGGAGCTGAAGGGGCCAGCCCCAGTCCCTCCCTTCTCTGGTCCCTTGGACCAGTGGTCCACACCAGTTTTGGCACCAGGGACCAGTTTCATGGAAGACAACTTTCCCACGGACCAGTGTAGGGGTGCAGAGGATGGTTTTGGGATGATTCAAGCACATCACGTTTATTGAGTTTGTTGAACAGGAGGCAGAGCTC